TCGCAGGGTTGTGCAAGATTGTTTAATGGCTAGTGTTATCTGATGGTGCGGCCAAGACGAAATTGCACAAGCTGGCGAGTTTCTGGGGCCATGAAAGAGTCTGTGCAGCCCCAGGTTTTGTAGCAGTGTGGCCGGCCTGTACGATTTGCTATCTGTCGCTTGCGCAGATTTGCTCTCGCTCGCCACACTGTCTGATGAACACACAAGCAGCGAAAGGGTTTGCCCACGCACGCTACGGGCATATATCTCTGAGGATGACAGCCTTACAGAATCTCTGCCATAATTACGCAATCATCGGCATGACTGGATGACATCAGGGCACTTAGCTTCAGCGACTGCGCGTGTTCTCTAAATTCAAACTTTTTATATTTTGCATTAGTGTTACCGTGTTCTGCATTGAATTTTCTTCGACCTTCAAGAACCAGTTGCTTACGTGGTTAACCTCTGTTCAGCGAAAGTTGAGCAAACCATGCTGAAAACTCGGGATAAACTTGACGTTAGGCTAATCAGTTGAACGTTTTTGTTTGAGCGCTTTTCCCTTTGTATAGCGATTTGTCCTCAAATATTCCAGCGCATAATGTCCACATCGCCTGTTGTATAACTGACGTACTTCGCGCTAAGCTTTAGACTTAATTCAGGCTTGCGCGCGTTCCGTTTTAAGGTATATATATTTTGGGATTAACTCAGTGGTTGGTGTGCCTGCATCACGCACTTAAAAGGTTTTCAATCTTGTCGTACTCCATCTTATTGGAAACAAGCTCCCGCGTCTCTTTTAATGGAATGGTGAACTTCTCCAGGGTGTTTTCAAATTTATTTATGTAAAATTGATGATGTAATTGCATTACGGCAGCACTTGTGCGTTCCTCAAGTATTTGAAAACCAATTGCAAATTGGCGTATTCGGAATATATGGTAACTGATAGGCGCCTAATGCGGCCAAATGAACTATATGTGCCATTTGGCGCATTAAAACAAAGTAAGGTTTTCGCGGTACACATGCCACTGAGGCTGTTAGGCACCAAGGCTGGCGTTTGGTTCAGCGCCAGGTACGGGCACTATGCTTCAGGTTCGTCCAATGCGAATAGGGTGAACAAGTCATAAAAGCAGCTGCATTGAAACCACATGCTGGGAAGGAGCATAGGCGCACTGACGTGCCCTTTTTTCAGTGCGCCTTTACAAAGTGAAACAGAACCATTAGGATGTAGCTTTATGTAGTGTTCTTTTCCACTCATCTTTCGGCCTTCATAATGCACTTCCGTTGATTTTTTTTTCCGCCCGTTAGCGGTGATCATGCTTTGTTGCTTCTCTCTCAGTAGCTGGTGGGCGTACAGGGTACAAAGCCGAAATGCTGGAGCAGAAAGCAAAATACACACAACACACACTAACAGACCAATGACCGTAGTGTAAGTGGGACACGAGAGAAATCGGGCACGTGTTGGCTTCTACCGAACTTTCGTGCGTCTATGTATCGACTACACCCGCTATGCAGTAATATAGAGGTGCAGCTTCGTCAGTTTTTACGCCACTGCTTCCACCGCACCTTCTACGCCTGCAAAGCTCAAGGCTGTCGGCATAACGTTGCAGTGCAAAGAGGGTCAACCTGTTCGCGTCTGCTCTGGCACTACTTGTCTACGGCACGGTTTCCCCGGCACTGTTTTACGACGCAAAACAGATTACACGCCAGCGTTGGATGTTTTTTTTTTTTTTTAAGTGAGCGTTCGATGCTCCCACAAGCTGTCCACACCTCAAACTGCAAGAAATTCTGTGGGCGTACACAAAACTCCTGTGAGGAGCTGCGTGATAGAACTCGATCAATGATGCTTTCTCTGTGACAAATAAAACTCGAGGGTGCGTTTGCCTCGCATTGGCGTAGTGGTAAATATTATCTTCTGCGTATTAGCGTTAAATACGTGCACCGCCGTGTGAACAAAGCAGCGAGAATAAAGGCCAAGTATTACGCGGCATTACACGGCACCCATTGGCGGCCGGTTGGGAGTTTCTTCTGCTTCATGTTCTCCTAGTAGAGAGGTAATAATAATAATAATAATAATAATAATAATAATCTGAATATATTTTTTTTCAAAATGTTCGGCAACTTCGAGTTAAGACTTGATTTATCATCTGGTCGTAAAACGTTCTGCTTGTCGCAATTTCATAAAGTTTTGCCCTTTTATGAAGAGCGGTTTGGCCGGCCATGCAGTGAAGGACACCGAGCTTTCCATAAGGCCGTCTAGTGAGTTCTTTGTAATGCCTTTAGGAGCGAAGCTCCTTAAGGCGTGGGTCGTGCGTTTCCTGTATGTAGTAGCCACCTCTCGTTTTACTTCTTGGAATGTCCGCTGGATGGCGGTACTTCTATATGATGAATATATGATGAAAAGATGAGATATGGCGGTACTTGGAGTGTTAACTAGATGTACGGACCGACGGACGGATGGGCGGACATATCGCAAAACTTGTATGGTATGACGTGGCAACATGACCAACATAAGGGACGGGCCCTCCTCACGTAGAAATCATGACATACCTGTCATGTAAGAACATGACTACATGCCACACTCATGATGCGCTCGCAGGCATTTCGCTAGCTTCACATACATCAAACTTGGTATTACGTGACGTGAAAGATTGATGAAGGTATATGACAGGTGCAAACTTGATAATCATGAGACGCGTGTCATGTAAGCCCGTGACTACATGCCACGGTCATGATGCCCTCGCGGTCGTTTCGCTGGCATCGCATAAACCAAATTTGCTATTATGTGACGTGAATGAACGATGAAGATATATCTTTGGTGCAAACATAATATACATGACATGGGTAATATGTAAAAAGATGACTACATGCCATGCTCATTATGCGCTTGCGGTCGTTTCGCTACCTTCACAATGTTACGAAGGTGCGACGCCAACGCGGTCCCGAAGGCACCACTGCTCCGAACTCCGCAGCCAAGGTCACCAGTCGTTTGGTAGCGTGTGCTACTCAGCTCGTGACTGCTTCTGTGCAGAGCTGATAGACGAGCGGACCAGACGACGGTGAGTTAAGACTAGGTTTATGTACAGCATAGAAATAGAGGCGTTACGAATTCGGCACTGGGGCCGACAGTTTAGGGACTCGAAGGGCCGAGCACCCATACGTCGGCTTCTCTCTGACACGTAAGTCAACTGCTGGCGACGCGCCACTTGGCTTTCTTTATAGGCACCGGGAGGACCTTTTTCGTCAACAACGTCTAACGAGAAGCACCGCTGGCCGTGATGTCAGAATCCTCCAATGAGGATCCGCCACTGGGCTGCGTCATGATCATCAAGTCCGGAGCCGCTGCGCTTGGTTGCACCCAAGCACGAGTGGTGTTGCCACGCATTGCGTAAGACTCGCCAGAATAGGAAGCGCCAATTGCTTCAACGGGCTCGTAGGCTGAGGGAGCTCATTGTGCGTTGCGTAAGACAGACTGGTGCCGCCGCTTGATGACGTCGTTGAGTTGATCGTGTCAGGCGGGGTCGATCGCTGGCCTCTACACGGATTGCCTTGGCAGAGGCATTGACGTTTGGTGTGGACTCTCTGGCGTAACAACATATACCAAATTTGGTATTACGTGACCTGAGTCGATGACTAAGTCACATGACTGGTGCAAACATGATAACCATGTGCGTGTCATGTAAAAACATGACTACATACCACGCTCATGATGCGGTCAAGGCCTTGTCGCTAGCTTCAAATAAACCAAATTCGGTATTACGTGACGTGAATAGTCGACGAGCACAAATGCCAGGCGAAGAGAATAATGATGAAATGAAAATCATGTACAGCATAATTTACATCCGCCTCGTAAAGTCGTGCTTAGTTCAATGTGACAACTCACCGTCCCTCATTCGTGCTTCGCATATTATCGATTTCCACAGTACGGGGGATCTACCAATTTTTTTAATGCTTTTTCCTCCTCGATCGGGGTGTTTTTCATAGCTTGCAGACATTCTTTTTTTCTGTATTTTAGAGCTTTTTAACATGGTGTGTACTATTGCACAAATTCTTTTTCTACTTCAGCTTTGACGTGTGCGATCTCATTTAACATTGTTGTTTTATATGTATCGTGCTATGTTACAGTATTTTCGCACTGTTAACCTTACTCATCATTTTTTAAATATATAACTGCACTTTTTGGCCAGTATTTTCTCCTGTTTGCTGCCTTAGTTTTATTGTTTATTATTATTTTATTGGCGAGTGCTAGCACAAAGGCCTTTCTGCTGTGCCCGGTGCAACCGTGTGGTTTCCTATTCTCTACTAGTGATGCACACAAGGTTATCGGTCCTGGGAACGCATAAACATTAAGCTTTTGTAATTTCCATTCCCAGCCGCGACCGGTAGAACAGAATGACTACTCTACAGGGGAGAGATGGTGCTTTTGTAACCACAACGCCGCCCCATATTATGCAGCCGGCGACTGGATCCACCTCGAGGATACCAGAAAGCTTTGGTCTATTTTCGAGTGCGCAGAAGTTCCCTGACAGCGTCTGTTCTCAGCAAAATGATTTCAGGCACTTCGTTGCCTTGTTCAGGCAATGGTGCTGCAGCTGACTCGTTTTGAACTGTCAATATAGCATGAAAACCACTGAAAGAAATTGTGTGCAGTAATTTAAAAACATTACGGTCTATTTTTCTAACGTCACATACCATTTGTACCTGCATAAATACTGCCTAATTAGTATTCTAGTATTGTTCGTACGAAATGTTGTCTTCGCTTTCCGCTAATATTCGAGCTTCTATTGTGATAGATCGGTGAGCATTTTATAAACCTCTGTAGCATGCTATAGTTGCTCTGTAACTGTTAGCCATTGGCTAATGATCCGCGTTTACAGAACGCATAGTAGTGTGACTTATGATTAGCTTCACTGTTGCCTGACTATCGTCATGTGTATTGCCAAAGTAGGCGGAGATCACCAGAGAGTGTGGACTTGAGCATGAGAGTGCGTCCTCGTCCAAGGGGGCCTTCAGACCATGGCACTAAAATGTTTTGCTTGCACGTGCAGCTGTATCCCGAAACCGGCGAGCAGAGCGGTGGAGCGGCGTGCGCAGCGGTGGCGTCGTCCCAGTCAACGGGGCGCTCGCCGGCGCCGCTGGTGGCCGTGCAGTCGACACCGACGCCTCCCCCGAGTGAAGACCACCTGCCACCGAGCGGGGGTGGTAGCCTGCCACTCAGTGCCTCATGCCACTCACTGACGGCCGCCACGACGGGCAGCAGCCTGGGCTCCTCCATCAACGACCTGACGCTCGAGGCCGAGCAGCTGGAGCGCGCCATCCGCGCCAACGATGTGGCCACCACGCGCCGCCTCCTGGAGCTGCACCACGGTCGCTTCTCGGTCAACCTGCACGGAAGCCTGCTGGACAAGAGCAGCGCCGGCTCGGCCAGCCAGGACATGGAGATCCTGCTGCGCAAAAGCCAGACGCTTATCGACCGCTTCGGTCGCGGTGACTCAGTCTCCACAGACTTGGAGCCCGTGCCGGCCGTGTTCACATCCGCACTGCACCTGGCCGTAGAACATGAGGCAATGGACGTGATCAACCTCTTGCTCAAGTACGGCGTCGAACCTAATGAGGCCGGCGTGCCTTTGGGCAGCCTGCGCCGCGGAAGCTCGGCCGCCTCCGAGGCCAGCGGCTCGCTGCGCCGTGCCACGCTTAGTCCCGATCAGGCGCCATCTCCCGAGCTGCGACGCCGCAAGTACGTACCGCTGCGTGCCGAGCTGGCCGCCTCGCTGTGCGTCGTTCGACACTCGCCAGACGGTCGAGAGATTACCTTCGAAGAAGAGTACACCCGCGATTTCCTCTACAGCCTGCCGCCTCTTTTCCTGGCTGCCGCGCTGAGCCGCACGAATGCGGTGCGGCTCTTGCTCAAGTACGGCGCCTCCGCCAGTCCCCGCGACAAGAACGGCGTGACACCGCTGCATCTGGTCGCTTGTCAGCCACAGCTATCGTGGGACTGCGTGCACGCGCTGGTCGAAGCTGGAGCTCGCATTCATGTTGCCAGCCTGCGTGGCGCGACACCTTGTGACCTCGCTCAGACCGACTTGAGCACCGTGCAGGCCTCAGCCATCAATTCTGCCTTCGCTAGTGCTCAGAACGCCGCGGCTGCCGCCGCCGCGGTGCTGCAGCTCACTACTCCCGGGGCGCCCACGACCGCAGCTGCTGCCGGTGCCGTTCCCGCCGCGGTATCCTCGGTAATATCCGCCGCACCACCTGTCAAGCCACCTCAAGAAGAGGCACACGTGACAAGATCCAATATATTGCGCCGCCTGCAGGACTCGAGGCCGGGCCAAACTCACCGTGGCTCGGCCCGCAAGAAGGAACAGCCCGAAGAACTGGCTCCGTCACCAGATGGCCCACCACCACCTGGAAAACAGCGCAGCCCTGGAGTCGTCAACGTCGCGCCTGAGGAAGACAAGACTCAGGAAAGAGTGAGTTAGCTGTCACTCCGCCCATTGCTACTTCTATAAATGAGTCGACGAAAGCGAAAACGCTGTAGGCCCGTGTGCTCAGAATTGGGCGCGCGTTAAAGAACCACAGGTGGTCAAAATTTATAGAGCCCTTCACTACGGAGTCTCTCATAATTATATGGTGGTTTTGAGACGCTGAACCTCACACATATATCCATCAATCTATAAATGGATACTAGGAACGACAGGTTCAACAATCAACACTGTTGTCCCATAGAGTACTATGTTATCGGGAGTCAAATTGAAGAAGCTTCCATAGCCATTTGCTTGCCTCCTTCACTAATTGCATATCTGAAATTGATTTAAATTGTTTCCTGCAGAGAGCTTTAGGTTGAGATTTTTTTGTTAGTAATTTGGGTCATGAGATGCTCCAGTGGCGCCTTTTGTAATATAGTTTTTAATTTTTCTCGTGTTGTATGGGTATAAATCATAATATAATTATGAGCTGTGCTGTAGTGGGGCCTCCGGATCGACTTCAACTATCTGGGTTTCTCTAGCGGGCACCTAAATTTGAAACACAGGTGTTCTTGTATTTCGACGGGGTCAAAATGCAGTCCTGAAGCTCAGTAGCGGTACATCTTACCCACGAAACCACCTTAGCGGCTGCTGAATAACTGTGAATACAGCATGTTGAAGGAAGTTGAATGAGTCAACGCAACATACAGAAGCATGGAACATTCTGTGAACAATTTTGTCGTCAGGCTTGAATTCAAAATGGAACTTCAACTATCCCGCGTCGTGTGCCTCATGAAACAAGAAGAGCCGGGAATGCATAGAATGTTTTGATCGCTGAAGCTTTTCGGCAGAACAAACACTAAGCAAATGGTTCTGCTATATAAAAGATAATGTAATAATAAAAAATGGTGAGATAGTTGAGGGGGGAGGAGGAAAGTATCTCAGGTCAGCTACTCCATAGAGGATGGCGACAGATGAAAATCCAGGAGACAGCGAGGCATTATGTACCAAAAGCAACTCGCACCTCATCCTGAATGTAAACATGGTGAGTATGGCACAAAGCACCGCGTTTGCCACCAGTGAATAAAATGTCTGAAAAAAAAACAGTAGCGTATCTCACCCCAAACACACCCCCACGCAACGCTCTCTCACGAAATGAAGCCGCGTTCTGCGAAGACCACGCAAAGCATGTATCCACAGTTGAGTTGGTACCACCGTTGTTGACACTGCTCTATAAACTTATAAATAATCGCCTTACCACGTATGATTAGTGATCTACCAAATTGGTACGAGCATATCTATGTTCACTAGAGCTCAGATACGTCTTGACAGACGACAGTGCAAGGCAACACTGTCCAATTCTACGGTTCTACGTCAGCGGATGAGAAAAAACTGGTCGACCGACCTTGAAGCGCAGGAAGAGAAGCTGCACTTTGTAAAAAAAAATCTAGTATTTGGAGAATATTGCTGCCATATAATTGTCATCTACCTTGATCACGTTTTATTTTTTTGAAAACTCGGCCTTTTTTGTAAAGAATGCTGTGTGTAAGCTGATAGCGCTCACGCCGATCGTGAACGGAAAGTGCCAGGATTGCTGTGATGACGCAGAGAAAGTACGTGAGGTTGACGATGATTATAGGCGTGTGGCAGAAATACCTATCCCCGAATACTAGATTTTCTCATCGAGTTGCTTGAACTTCTGAGCGAGGTAGTGAGATCACTGATGTCGAACGCGTGACGGCACCGATGTCTCCTCACGAGAAAGCGTTGATTACAGACGCTTTAAAGAGGCCCTGAAACACTTTTTTGAGTAACCATGAGTTAATTCGATGGAAGAGCGTATTGCCTAAAAAGATCAACGCCGCAAAAATTTCAGAATCTGTCCAGTACGAGCGGAGTCACAAAGATTTGTCACACGCTGCAATTGCATTCTCTCTTTTCTCGTCCCGATGAAAGCGCCGAAAGCTAAACAGGGAGGGATGGGAGGGGCAAACAAAAACGTCATGCACGCCTCCTGACCTCGAGCACTTTTTTTCTTCGAATGCGCGGGTTTTTTAGTGTGATCGCGCGCGCACGCGTGGACAAGTAGTGGCCTCCCACGGCGATCTCTGTAACGACCGAGCGGCCATGTTCAAATCAGTCAATGGCTGACAGGTGGGCTTACTACGAGCGAGTTTTCGGCTTATTCCCTAATTTGTTGAGAGAAGAGAAGGCAATTTTTAGCTGACTTTGATAATTTATTGTGAAGTCCAGGCCACGTGCTGCGCTATAATATTTGGCTCGCGTGTTGTTGGCAGCCTCTCAAAAAATGCTGCAGCGCCCCTTTGACTGTCCTCGATTGTCGTGACACCTGGTGCGCTGCAGTGTAAGAACCGTTCGTTCCCGCACCTCGCGTCTTTCCGCAAGCACTACGGCGCACCAGGTGTCGTGAAGGTCGATTGCACGGCCTGCGACTACGGCAACGTCAGCAGCTTTGCTTGCCCCGTTGCCGCTGTCACTCCGTGAGCCCGCAATCCCTGTTCTAGTTCACTCTAGGTCCATTCAATTCACCGTACACTTCCAGAACTAGTTCACGGTGGTGCCGTCTGGGTGTTGTCTTCATGCAGGTAGGGTGCAGGTGACGTTTCAGCAAGTGCAGCAGCGGTGAAATGTGGAAACGAATACGAGAGTGCTGATGTCGTGCAAGGCCTATGCTACTTTTCGGCTGTCCCGAGGGTTGCGGAGGCTGTGATTTGTGAAAGATGGCGCCGCTTACGCTTACGTTGCTGGGATGTGTCTACCGGAAAATGTTCACTGTTGTACTTGTTGCACACCGCTAAAGCACAGGCTAAAACAGACATGTATGCCATCGGCTGTGTCGTCTGCTGCAGCTGCAGCCATCTTGTGCTGCCCAAGCTCGTCATTACCCCACGAGAAGGTGCAGGGAATTCATGAACTAGCCTTGCACGACAGCTGCACTTTTTCGAAACGAACACTGCGGTGCCGCTGCCGCCCTGTTGAAATCGGGAAACGAATGCCGAAGTGCAGCGCCTCCGTGAACCGGTTCACGAAGTGCAGGTGAAATTAATGGACCTTTTATAAATTAGGTTCGTGGGTTTTCTATATTTTCAATTTTGTTTTCTGCACTGAGCTATAGATTTATTTGTCCAAAATTCACCACGTTGTTGAAATGAAAGTGGGTTTTGCTCTCAAGTTTTAGAAAAACAATTGACCAAGTCGGGTACCAAGGCGTTGGTGGAAATCTTGCATAAATTTGTCAAGCTGCTATATGTCCGCAGCATGGACCATACTAAGAAGGGCAAGCCACGCAGTGATGATTCGCGAGACATTTGTTAAGTCCCATTTGTTAAAGAGCCCCTCACCAGGTCGCAGAATAAATTCGGTAAGAAACTCGAAGTTGTCATGTGCGTGATGTATCGCAGTAGGATATACATCGGGCACACAAGTTTCACAGTTGGTTCATTACATACCAGCTGAGAAAATGAAAATTTTAAAGCAGCGTGAAACATTGGTGCTAGGAAGCGAACTCGAAATCCTTGCAGCTCGTCCCACGTAGTTTTTCGCAAGCCTAATCCCTTCCCTTCCCTCTCTGGAATATTTCCGATGGAGGCGGAGGAGGCCCGTGTATTCAGATTTGGGTGCACGTTAAAGAACCCCAGGTGGTCGAAATTTCCGGAGCCCTCCACTACGGCGTCTCTCATAATCATATGGTGGTTTTGGGACGTTAAACCCCACATATCAATCAAATCCCTCTCTGGAATCCGAGCGGGATGATCACATCAACGCATGAACGCGTGTGCTAGGTTACGTCCGCATGATGTGTCCAAGCAAGCCCAAGCGCGCGAGTGCTTGGGCTTGCTTGTTTTGTTCCAGTGTTCTCTGTGGTCTACTAACTCTTACGGGTAGGACAGTAGCGCTATCATGACCTAGTCCCACATGACCAGGACAATAAATGAGCCTATTGAGTGCCAGAAAATTACTTTCGGTATCAGGGCTGGCCTCTCCTCGACGCGGGCACCGCCGCGGTGGTCTAGTGGCTAAGGTACTCGGCTGCTGACCCGCACGCCGCGGGTTCTAATCCCGGCTGCGGCGGATGCATTTCCGATGAAGGCGGAAATGTCGTAGGTCCGTGTGCTCAGATTAGGGTGCACGTTAAAGAACCCCAGGTGGTCGAAATTTCCGGAGCCCTCCACTACGGCGTCTCTCATAATCATATGGTGGTTTGGGGACGTTAAACCCAACAAATCAGTCAATCAATCTCCTCGACGCGGAAACCACGAGAACACGAACGCATGCAAAACGGAGGTGGATTTTTTTGTATTTATTCGCTGTAAATATAAAGAAAAAACACTCACGCATACCGTCTGTGCGTCTTACTTTCGTCAAATTTAATTTGTTGAAGCTACAAAGTATACGTGTGTCAGGTAAAATAATTATCTCAGTGCAGCGTGCTATACTATGGGCTACGTCAAAGCAACAAATCTCTGCGTATATGAGTGGCGTCAAAGCACTGGCAACAACGTATATGGTAATTCCTTGTCACACGTCATCCCATCCTCCTTTGGGCGCGCGCCCGCGAGACGAATGACAAGCGGTGTTAAGCTTGAAATACGACCTTTTCCGCGGAGTGTAGCGTTTCAAATGTGGGCAGACCTGATCGTGAATGCTGAGCATATTCATTTCACGAGTCAGCTAAAAATGGTTAGACCTGGTGAGGGGCCCTTTAAGTCACTTGATAAGTTTCGGATACAGCTGTGCCGTTTGTGCTCATGCTTTAAAAGAAAGTCAGCCACAGCCGACCATCGGCAGCTTAGACATAGCTTTTCTGTGGAGAATGTGAAACCCTAATTACGAGTCATACCCGCTGTCCTATCTCATCTTAATTTCATTCACCATTTAACGCACCAAAGATGTTTTTTTTTCTTTTCCCGGATATGCTTTACCAACCATACCTGATTCCCATACTTTCGTAGGCATGTGGCTTTTTCATTAGGATCCCTGCACAG